AATGCACAATTTTTCGCGAAAATCCATGATGTTGGGTTCATACAGATTGACTACCTAACCTTACCGTATACTGCCAAAAACTGAAATAAATCATATTTTGGTAATCAACTCCTTTAATAACCTCTGTGAGGAACTCAGAGACATTTTTTAAATTTCTTCCAAAAAGAATACCATTTCGGACAATACGACCCACGAGTGGATCGTAAGTTTAATAAAGCGAAAAAGGCTCTGACCCGAAACGGCAGCAATCGAAAAATCGGCCTTGTCGTGAATGTGTTAAAGGCAGCGTCCGGGCAGATTCGGACATTACAGGATAGTACCATAACCGAGTACTGGGGCCTCGATCTAGAACTATGGCACAAGTCCGACTTTTGCACACCTGTAGAGGAGAAAATCGGCACAGAAAACGCCGAGCCTTGAGGAGCACGCCCACTTCCTCTCACGGCCCACCCCTTGGTTATCTCAAGCCCTTGACGTGTTTTCAGTGGCAAGCACAATCGAGCACATAATGTCTACCTGTTAATGCTCGCTTTCGACAAGAATAGTGAAAGAGCACTCATCCGCTGTTCTCACAAAATTGTCTCAAAAATGTTTTTTTTGTAACGCATTTTGAGTGCCATATTTGAAATCAGCGCCATGAAAAGGGCTGGATAAAGCAAAAAAAGTAGAAGTTAAGATTCTGCCTGGATGTTGCCTTCAAAGGCAGTGGATCGGAAGAACGAGTCCAATGGCAAAACAAGGTCACAGGGTAGGAGCCCCCATTATGGAACCTATCGGCCAAAGCCCGATCTTTCTCTGCCCTTCTAACCCCCGAAAATTCAACGCGGAAGCAGCGTCATCACCGACCCCGCCCACCCCATGGACGAGTGACTTCCACGGTCAGAGCGCGCAACGAACACCTCAATTAGGCACCGCCTTCGCGGACCACTGGTTCCAACACGATGCACAACAGTAGGACGAAAGGACCAGCAGCCCGCGGAGGCGATGCCTTATTGAGGTGTTCGTTCCTCTACCCTGCCCCAATGCTATAAGCATAAGGGTCCCGCAACGACTCTGCGTCTTCGCCATGGTGGGCTTCGCGTTCACTCGTCCGTGGGGTGGGGGGGGGGGGCAGAGAGGAGAGGAGATGAGCGCTGCTTTCGCTTTGAAATTTCGGGGGTTAGAAGTGGCAGAGAAACATCGAATTTTGGCCCATAGGTTCCATTATGGGGGCTCCTACCTGTGACCTTGTTTTGTCACGGGTCTCATTCTGCCGATCCACTGCTTTTAAGCCACGAGCAAACTTCACGCGATCTCAGTCGCCACGCAATCTGGCAGTATGCCAGATGCCTTCAGATCCTACACCTGCAGATACATGGCATGCATCTCGTAGAAACAGAACGCTTTTCCCTCTGGATCTTCAGAATGCGCTTACGATGAGTTATGAACATTGGAGTAATGCCAAATCATGTCGCGACTAAAATCGCGTGAATTGTGCTCAAGTTTAGCCACACCATCAAAAAACATTTTGTTTCCGAAATTCTCGCCGGGTTATGACCCAGAAATTCCCATAAAATCTTGCGTGATAGCAACCGGAGATGGCGACGTAGCAGGAGGAACTAAAGGCCTTGCTGCCGTGCCCGCAGGTGGCAATTATGAGCGCGAGCACTATACGAGAGAATTCTAAGGAAATTACACATAACTTTGCTTGGAAAAACGCAGGAGATAGCGGGAGGCAATTTTGAAATCCATTTTCATGACTTTTATTGATAAAGTTAACGAACTTCAATACAACTTACAGACAAAAAAGTCTAAAATAATCCAAAAAATTTTACTTGGAAAACCACTGAGAACATGGAATTCAAATTTAGAATCAGTAGTTCAAAATGAGATCTTGAAATAGTAATTTTAGATTTCAAGTGGTTATGCTTATCAAATAAACAAAAAACTGTTAGCAATTGAGAAATCTCCACTTATAGGGAAAGTGTGTTCAGTCAAAATAGCGTTTTTAGATGACACCTATAATGCTTTTGCCAAGCGCCTCTGTATGCCGAGTTATGGGGGTTTCTCGGGTCAAAAATTAAACGCAAAACTGGAACAAAATCGCCCAAATTTGCTCAAATGGTCCGGTGTCGAGTATCAGAGCAGTTCATGCAATGGATACCTTTCCTCTAATATGATAATACTTAACATTGCTTATCTGAGCGTTGGAAAGATTGTAACAATTGATTCTACCCAAATTCTGCATCTATTTTTCGTTCCAAAAACAGTCATAATACGACGTCCAGAGGCGCTTGGCAGATAATGAAGGCAGATTTGAAGCCATGTGCAAGACTCTCCAAAACAGAATGGGTCTCACCGAAAAGGTCTCTTCGACTAAACACGCTTCCCTTGTTAGATTTAATAGTCCTGCAACGTACTCAGCAAATTCCTCGCACTTCAGCAAATTTCGATGAGTTTTTTAGATTATGCTCGCATAAAAAGTGTTTTTTCAAAAGTTGAGATGTTGTATCACATCGACAATTTCGTATCGTTTCAAATTTTTTTGTGATGCGTTTCAATTTACTCAAGGATTGCAATTCGAAGAAGAGCTCGTAAACAAAAGCATTCAAATTCTGTATGAAAATGGGGCACAGGAACCCGTCTTCTACTTGAATTGCGATGTATGATACTATTAGGTTGATTCATAATTAATGCACGTTTTTCGAAATTCATATTCAAAGCGTCGTAATTCGTTTCCCACGTCATCTTTTGAAGAGCAATAAGAACTGTTGCAGAGAGCAATTCCTTGGCTTTACAACATATGTTTTTGTTCATAGATAAATGTGACGAGAAAGTTTGTACAATCCGAAAAATGCCAAGAATTTTTTTTAAAAACCTCTATTTTGAGAAAGCATAACTTACTCTCAAAGGTAGGAGGAAAGCGCAAACTTTGCTCATTGCGCAGCCAATGGTCAAGGGAGAAGTGGCAAAAAACCCGGATTTTACGGTATTTTTCTACGACGAGATACTGCTATGAGTTCAAAAGTGATCATTTTTTCTAGCTTTTTCAGAAGAACGAAAAATTGTCTTTTTTGAAAATTTGTATATTTTTTGCCACCGAAAAGCTGTAAAATTTCACCGTTTTTCCATCACTCAATGTGCTATGTCTATTCTTTGTGCACAAAGCAAAATCGCAGTCATTGGTTCTTGTTTCAAAGTTCCATACGACTTCGAAAGGCCACAATGACCGGCCAAGTTTGTGGTTGAATCTCTCATCTCAGAACTTTTGCAAAATTCTGCTTTATGGAGATTTCTATAGAAGAAAACTTCGCCATTGTTAGGCATACTTTTTGAAATTAACATCTTTTGTCCTCATGAAATTAGAGCAAAAAGAATGAGAGGAAAAAATTTCGAGTTTTAGTCTCTCATATTCCGAAGCGTGGAATTCGGTATCATACAGAGTGTCACGAAAAAGAAAGGATACACATGAAACTAGAAGAAACGCTCTTTCAGATAACATTGAAATTTTTGGAAAAGATTCAGTATCCTTGAAAAACCAGCGCTTGGAAAAAGAGGTAACAAAAACGTGCATTAATTATGAATCAACCTAATATTCCATGTCATACTGGAAACGAATCAAGACTCCATTCAAGGGAATATTTTCAGTCTTTCGGATGTTTCCTATCCAGCTTAGTTGAGCCACGATCTGACAACTTTGGTTGTCTTACTATTTGTAGATAAAATCCTGAATGAATGCGCTTTAGAACGCAGGTTACAAAACTGCCTCACTCATTTTTCAAGCCTTATCCCAAGCCAAGTTACGAAAAATTACTTTTTTAAGAATCTCTCCGAGAATTCTGCCAAGTTCTCTTGGAACCTGGCCAAATCTCTTCCGCATTGCTAGCGCCTTTAATTCCCTCCTGCAGACACAGGCGGCTAGGCTTTGGTTCCTCCTGCGCGTCCTGCACGGGGGATGGTGCAGGAGGAATTGAGAGCGGGAGCGCTGTGGTTAATTTGTTGGCAAGAATCCAAGAAAACTTGGCAACTTTATTCTTTGGAAACGAATCTGCCTAGAACCGCTCTCGGAAAATGTTTGTAAACAAATTTTGGTTTTTGGAAATTTTGGGAAGTTATTTTAATTACTTGAACGTATTCTCGGTGGTTTCGGTCCATCACCGGTAGCAACGATTCACAAGAAGACTATAAAGAATTACCACACTTTATTTTAGAGAGATCAAACATTATTAAAGATACTGAAGCTTCGAAATCTTTATAACATTCTACATAGCTTACATACTACGCCAGATCGTCCATGTCAATATTCCATGCCAAAACTCATTTCTTGTATACAAGAAGTATATTATGTATGTTATGTTATGCTATGTTTTCAGAAGTATGTTAGTTTATCATGTTATCTCTATCATATAATATATACTAGTAACTGTCGTTTCTATGCGATATTGCCATTTTCCTACCCCAATCCAATTCAGAATAGTGTTTCTTTTTTCCCTTGTTGCACTACATGTCTTCTACTTCATCTTACTTCACGCATGTCATTTGTTGATGCAAAATTTGTGTCATATCATTGTGAATAATGTTTACAATAGCACATATACGTACATGGTTTTACATTCTCAGGATGGAAAATAATAGCGAAGCTGCAAAGTATACAATGACAGCACACTTATACGCGATTGCTGTACACTTGCATATAGAGAAAAGCTGCCCCAATAGAGTTTGAATTTCCGTCAATTTTTGCACTTTGAAGTGTTCGGGCATTGAGCTCTACAGAGATAGGCTCACTTGACGTCAGACATGAGCACATTGCATGTATGGGTGTATTTACTTGATTTACAATGTGTCTAGTACTACCGGTAGCCAGTAGCAATCTAAATCTCTCAGACTCACAGACCCACAATACAACATTTGCGTCACCAGGGATATGAAGCGGAACTGAGCATGCAACATTCGTAGAATAAAAGAGGATTTAGCTCCCCATTCGTTCAAATTCACTTACTGTAACTAACGCCACAGCAAAAATGAAGCGGCTGATTATTATATCCACTGTGAGTTTTATGTTAGCATGTCTGCTCCCATTATAAAATTTATTTTCCAGATAGTTACACTTACGGTAGCTGCCCAGCTCAGTTGGGAAGAAGAAAGGAGAGTGGTAGACTTCATCCGTGTCACTTTAGGCCTAGAAAAGGTAGGGATTATAACTATAAATAAATTATAGATTAGACTGTGTTAGATCTGCACCCATATGCGTCCTTAGACTGGGATATTATTTTTTCGCAAGTAAACATTCTAGCTGCGCAGTGATAGCTGTATCAAAGAAGCTGAATTTCTTTTGAAACGACCAAACGAAGTGCCAGAAGATCGCCCTCTTCCTCCCGGATTCGTGTTTCCTGCTGAGTAAGTCTAGTATCGATAGTATCCGCTGTTACTCAATATATTATGCAGGTATAGCAGCAATCTAGCAGAGTACTTTGGCTTGTCCGAACAAAGAGCAGACCTTATAAAGGTAAATAGTTTTCATGTGATTTTATAGCATTCTTGGCTAAAAAGCTCCAGTTTTCCGATTATGCCGCGAACTCCATTGGTGACTGATGATTTGTACCTCTTTGACGTGTTTTACACACTATAATAGGGAGAATGAGACGTTGCATAGAGCATTCAATGTTGGTTTCGTTCTACATAAGCCTACTCTAACCTACTCTAATTAGGGAAGCTAATTTATTCTATCTTTTATTCCTTTTGATACCTTCTTTGGGAACTATTGATGAAAGGGTCCCAAACCCGCCGGCGCCAAGGAAAGACGCAATACTGGTCTAGTTCTTAGGCCAGACACTAGTATGCATAAAAAAATCCTGTTACTTTTGCTTTCCTGGAATGTTCCTGTATAATCCCTAATCTATTACATTAGGTCGTTCCAAAAGTTCTTTCCGTTTTCGCGATCGATCATAAATACATGCGGAGAGATGGGCAAACACTTCGAAAACTATTGAAGTTTTCCATCCTTTCTCTAGCAGTGATGTTTTTGGGCTAATTTTTGTAGTTACTAAAGTAGCTACTAAAATTTTCTACCCACAGTCCTTATATGCCCATGTTTAGCATTCTTTTACATTTTTTGGAGCTTTTGGAAGAGTTTTTGGTAAAATCTAGAAAGAGCAAACAAAGTGCAGCACTAAATTTTTTGGCCTGGCAGATTGAAATGAGATGCACATCAACAGCATCGCCTTTAAACGCTGATTTTCCAAATCTGCTTTCCATGTCTGCGAAACGATTCTGATGGCAGAGGTTAAGCTCTCCAGGGTGCAAATCTGTTGAATATTCAATGACATGTGCGATAGCTTCCCTCAGTGTAATGTGATTGCGGTACCAAGATTTCTGTGTCCCGCAAATGTGCAGCATAGCACTTCTAAGGTCTTTCGTTCTCATATGACAATGATTTTTCAGCTTATCTCACTGTACACCCATTTTGGATGCGCTAAAGACCACGGAATGATTGCATGTGCATATGGTAATGATCTGTCTTGCGATTCTGATTTCGACTTCAGATGGTCAGAAGATGGTGGCCTGTTCATTCACAGCAAAAATGGAACAGAGATAAAACTGATTTGAAATCTTCTCGAAGTATCACTTTCAACTTTGATTCGAGCCCTTTCATGATAACGAGAATTCCCTAATAATGAATACCAAATTGATTCTCAGTGATTTATATTTTATATTCTTTTGCAAATCACGCATAAATATGATTAAGTTCGTGTTGAGAGTGCATGCTCATCATTAACTTTTAAACTCCTCTACTTCTAGTGCACACCTTTTGCGTCGGACGCTTGCAAATTTTCTTTCCTCATTGAAACAGAGGTATTCGTAAACAAGCTCACGGATTTCTCTGCACGTTAAGACTTTCAATGAGACCGAGGAGAGGCCATCACCTCTTTTGCAGTTATACTCACATTAATACTCGAAACGATCAGATTCAAAAAACGGTGGATTACAATCACTGTCAACAGCAAGATGTGTTCTGGAAAAATGCTTCCAAATTCAAGAGAATGCTGTTAAATGTAGGATCCATAATTCTCAAATGTTGTAACAAAACCCTGCATTACGATTTTAACCGTACCGCAAAATCCATAACCCCAAGAATGACTCTCATACCCTGCTCGATTTGTTAAGACAATCTATTGGTTAAAGGCTAGTGCATTACGAAGGCGCAGAAGCATTATCAGTTGAGCCGGAGCGAACGGGGCACGAGCGCACCTTCACCATTGTAATCCCTGCGCCTCATGCGCTCTGCGGTTAATAAAGCCGCGTTCGCACCCAAAGCTTCGACATGCAATAGCCTATAAGATCGTTTTTTAATCAGTGTTTTCCAATCGACTCATCTTTGCCGAGAATGTTGTGGGAAGTGAGAGTTATCCTTTGTACTACAAATTGTGAACTTGCCCAATTTTGACCATAAAGGCAGTGTCTCGGCAGATTTTCGTTTTCCAGTTTTTCATCTGTTTTGAGCCTTCTCGTCGTGAGAAATCCATATATCGGCTTTTTCAGAGCATGAAAATGACGAAAACGAACTGTTTCCGAAGCTTTTCAGGCCCGCATCAGTGGAAAGTAACAGTGGGCGGGGCACGAACAAGGAAGGCGGGCGGGAAGGCTTCCAATGTATCTTCACTGAATGCGAAACCGAAAAGCTTCGGAAAAGCTCGTTTAAGCTATTTTCATGCGCTGAAAAGCCCAGATATGGACTCCTCAGGGCGAGAAAGCTCCGAAACGGTAAAACATTGGGAAACGAAATTCTGCCGGACACTGCCTTTGATCTGTGTGCACAAACATTTCGTATCGTCTTACGAATATTAATAGCGCACTAGGTTCACTGTAGGCTCCAGTCATTATCTAAGCAATGCAAAATGACTGTCATAACTGTCATTGACAAAATAGCAGTTTACCTGCACTGCTGAGAGACAGGCCCGTAGTAACCCCCCATCAGGGCATCTCTCTCGACGCGGGCCGGCGTTGATCTCATCACGCCTCAGTCTAGCATTCGGCGAGCCATTGATCTGGATGCGGATCGCTTCCGAGGCATTACAATCGAGTGCGTTCTTTAAAAAAACCACTTGAGCTGGTTTGGTCAAACGGGTAAGCGATTGGAATTACACGCGCGCTGCCGTGGTTCGACTCCGACTAGCGACACACCTTTTGATGCATCGCTGGGCAATCTTTTATAGCGGCCACTACGCAATCGATGATGACCGCTATCAAGGATTTCGCCTAGCAAATGCACGGATAAAACAAAAACACAATTTGTGACAAAAATTTTATGAAAAAACGAAATGGTTGCAGCATATACTCAATGGAATGAATAAAAGAGTTCTTGTTTTAGACAGCTAGTGAAAAAAACCAGTAAGGTTTATTAAAAAAAGAGAAGAATTTGTTTTTTTGTTATCCTCGCCAAAATCAGCTGTTCATCGATCCTCTCCTTTTCGGGCGCGGTTGCGCAGTTTTGCGCCGATTTTGTCTGCATTTTTAGCCTAACTGATGTGTATCGTAAGTCACTCGGGAGCAACTTACGGGAGTCTTGTCTGCGTCTCCTTTTTTACACACTATTTGCATCACTCTAACAACAGTTCACGTTCAGGTCACTTGAACTTGAACTGATGTGGAAGAGTTGACTGCAGCAGGTGGACAGATGGTCAACTATCGGTTCACTCGCCATTCTTAAAGCATGGGAGGGTGGGCGGTCATCAGTTCACCTGACGTGAGGTGAACTGATGGGATAAGTTCAGTTCACCTGAACTGATCGAGCTTTACCACGGGCCATAGCTTCGAGCAATCCTTGCCGTCCCAATGGCGCTTTACAAATTTCAATCCTGGTTGTTTGTCAGCATTACAAAAACTTCATCTGCACACGTGAATCGCTAGAAATCAACAAATCTTGCTTTCCTATGAAAATTATTGATTATTTCTTTCTCCATATTCTTTATGAGACTCAATTACAATCTTATGCAAGGACAGCGGAAGTGGGAAAGCGTGAAATGAGTGACTAATGTAGAAAAAAGCATTAGAATGAAAATAGAACTGCTGGAGAGCAGCACAAATAGAGTGACAGATGATAGAAAACAGGATTAACAATAAGAAAATGTTACAAAATTTTCAATCGTTGTACTCATAATTTGCTCAAAAGTAGTTGTTTTCTAAATGAATGAGTAACAAAAATGGGAGAGATTTTGAGAGCGGTTTTATTCTATTTGAACAACTCAGTTCCTTGCCGCGTGGACTCAAAGAAATGTGCTCTGCAAAAAACTGTTACCCTTGAAAGTGCAAGTGTAGTGATGGTTTAGTGGATGATTTGTATACGCTGCTGCATACGAAGGCGCAATATCTTTGAGCGCGAATGCGGCCTCATTAGCCGCAGAGCGCATGAGGCGCAGGATTTACCAACGGTGAAGATAGGTGCGCGCCGCATTCGCGTCCGCTTAACCAATACTGCTTCTGCGCCTTCGTCATGCAGTAGCCTATACGTTTGTAGAGTATGATAGCAGTAATTTCGCTTAGATAAGCAAAACATCATGGATTAAGCATTTAAGTCACTCATTTCAACCATTGGTGATTAGATGACTCCTTGTGTGTGGTTTGTGCGAAATCGAACGAAATAAGCCTATTCTAATCATTAAAGTAGGTAAGATTTTAATCTGTTCAGACTGATGCTCGTAGCTTTCTTCCTCTGTTATTGACTTTGGAGCTGAAAAATTGTAATTGTAGTATATAAAAACAAACTCGGCTACATGTTATATTCGCAAGCGAAAGTGGTAGTGCTTCTTTATAGCCTACGAGTTTCATGTTTATATGCAGCTTGAAAACGTTTTTTTTTTCGAATATTATAATATAAAAATAATAATAATTAGAATAATAATAATAATAATTGAAATGATAATTTTTCGAGTATAATAATATAATATAAGGATGAGAAAAGAAATGCATACATTGCTGCATGAAGCTCCGTTTTCGCTTGCATCACCCGCTGGGTTCTGTGGTGGTCATCTTTGCATTCGGCGAGCAGTCATTTGTTAATCCTTCACACTCCTGAACTGGCTCGCGCTGGACTCACTGAGCACGGAATGTTGGAACACATAGCATAAGCTTTTCCTTCGCACATTTCTGACCCAATGACTGGACTGATTGCATTCCAATGCTTTACGATATGCTTCATATTGTTACTTTATGGGGCATCCGCTCTTGGAAGTTCAGAGAAACTTCATCAACCTGATTTCATGGAAAACGCGTGAGTAATGATAATTTTGTTATCTCCGGTAATTTCTTAATTTTGTTATTTTGTTATCAATCAGCAGCAACTTTTTTGCACCTTTTCGCCTTGTCAGTGAACAGATTTCCAATAACAGCTTAATCGTTACTAGTTATCCTGTTACGCTACTATTTATGTAGGAGTCGAATTTTTCTTCTGAAGCGGAAGATTTAATTTGGTGCACTGGACGAAAAAAAGTTAAAAGCATGCTTCCATGTGTTCTCGTCTTGGAACCTGTGCATCTTTGACGTAAGTTGATGTACTAGTATTTCTTAAGCCGCACAGGTTGTTATGGTGTAGACCTCCGACGAAGACGAGTTGTTCGAAACGTTAGGTCAATAAAGTTCCACCATACCAACCTGTGCGGCATAAGAAATACTAGTACATCAAATTAAAAGCATGCGTCCTACTTTACCATAGTTGATAAAGTAAATTATAATCCATACTGATATTTTTCTGAAGTTTGTATTGCCTTCAGTAACGTACAAAATGCGAGCTTGCAACAAAATTATCTTGAGCAAGGGCAGAATATTTTTCAGGTGTCTGGACTCGTACTCTTTCATACAGCATGGAGCACAGAAACAAACACTTCTCAACTCCAGCAAGGTAGTTTACACTGAACATTTTTTTTCTGCTTGCATGCAACTAACAACATGTAAATTTCTGCCAACTTCCTAATTTTCAAGAAAAAAATACTGCAGTGGCAATCTTTCAATTTGCTGACAACAAATCATACAGTTTGACTTTTGATAGAGTTGGTTGCCAGCAATTTTTGTATTTTTATTGAAGAAAATTAAGCCAATGCAAAAAAAGGAACCCGCCATTGTGCTCACTTGCATTATCCTCTCTTCATGTTATAACATTCTTGAAGGTTATTGTTCTACATATGCGGCTGAATCAAGATGGATCCGAAGTGATGGAAGGATGTGGCAACTTTACATATTAGCCCTTACACCTTAAATATGCTCCCTAAGACTACGGTACAAACCTCTTGAAGGCATCGCCCAAAGATTTTGCCTCCCATGTTTTTGCCATTCCGGAGCTTTTCTGTGGCCCTGATTACAGTGAAGTTCAAATAGTCCAAAACTCCCAAAAACCCGCATTTCTGGGGACCCTGTCTTGAGAGCGCGGACGGCTTCCAGGACATGAGTAGTCGGAGTCTGAGAGGATGTGGGCGGGCCTGGTAGCAGGCTGGCTGGCTGTTCCAGGCCCCTTATCTCCATTCAGAGACAACATTAGAGAGCCGGAACAACGCAGATGCTCCTCTCGGGGCCTACCTTCAGGATCGACACTAATAGGAAGGGATTAGATTTAGCCTGGACATTAACTCTAAGATCTAGCACTGGAACAAACCCCTGAGTTGTGTACGAATAGGTCATGTTGCTGTAAAGTGCATTTTTTCTTTTCGATGTCGCTCGAAACATTGAATCTGATGTAAATAAGTAGCGTTTGATATAGGTGCTAAACGATAAGTTTGAAATTGAATTATATTTTTACTATATATTGCCGAAAAACGAAAATCGAATGCAGCAGTAAATGAAACAGTGCTCGCGTTTATCAAATGAGTCAGTCATTTGATCAGATTTCACAAAATCTTTGGTTAATGAAAGCTAACCAGCAACTGGCAAAAAAAGAGGAAGATTAGTTTTTGCTTTTCTATGAACTTTATCGGTTTTCCAGCACTCACCGCAGAACATCACCCGCAGACATTACAGTGCACTAAAAAGATATGGAAGTCTTCAAATTGTTCATCCTCCTCCACCGGATGAACAGGATTGGGTGCTCACTTCCGGTAATTTCAAAGATTTTTTCTTCTCGTTCTCGATTGCTGCAAATTGCATTTCCTTTGTCAGGGAATGAGTCACTCGTCGACAACGTGTTGTCCATCTCCCTAAAATTTAGTGGGCGGCTGATATCTATGGGATATTTTATTCGTGGACGATCTACCCATTATTATGCTATTATGCATAAGTACACTGGTCCTGTTTTCATAAAGCCGGGTCCTTTGACTTATGATGCGCTAATGACAGCTATCAAGTAAGCATAAATGATCAAATTTTTACCAAAGCTTGAGCTAAAAATTTCAGAGAAAATAAGCGACGGGATCTGGTTCTGACTCAAGTTTGTGGGCAAGAAGAAAGACCGGGTATGATTACATTTTCGACCTATTGGGAGAGAGTTCCTGAAGTTGATTACGAGGTGGGATTTGCTTTCGTAATACAACAGGAATAGATATCTACGAAAATTTTCTAATATGTTCCAAAATTGCATTAGAAATCATGTCATGTCTTCAAGTATTTTCTATCTTATCGCTACTTATTTCTTGAATTTTCATACATTCTTACAGTAATTGGAAAAGTTTTTTGAGCAAAAAGAACTCTGCAAAAAATTCAACTTCTTAAGAGAGTTTGGTTTATCAAAGTAAGAGTGATAGTGTTATCAACTTGGGTTTCAACCTTAAAATCCTGTAATTATTGATACGTCACAGATTTGGTTCCCCGGGTCCCATAACGCAGACTCTCAACGCCTAAAACTGGAAAGCAGTGGCTACCGTATCATTCACTTATGTGGCTATTCAGAAAATGGTCGAGGACGGTCAGCTTCACTTTTATTATTGCATCTCAAATAAATAACTCTGATTGTTTAGGTATGTTGTAGTATGGCAAAAGCAACCTCCCACCAAGGTACAGTACGAAGCACATTATGGGCTCACTTTGGAATTGTGCTTACAAAAAGACAAATTGCTGATTTCGAGGGGATTTGTGGCCACCTCATTTAGAGTGTTTAACAGTGCTAATCAGGTAGGGAAAAACTTAGAATGCTACGTTGATTGCAGAAAAATGTCCTGCAAACTATCACTAGCTCTCTGGTGACCTTGAAACGCAAAAATTAATTACCATTTGATGACTTATTCGGAATTTACATCGAAAGAAAGCAACGTTTTGTATATTACACAAGCTCTACAAAAAAATTTCGAGACTTCGGTGTGCTAAAAAAGGTCATGAAACAAAAAAGTGCTTTGTTTGTAATTTATAAATTAATTTCAAGGTCCTCTGCACGGCAATCTGGGAGCAGCGACCTAAGCACAAAAGCTTTGTTATTGTGGGTGACAACTTCGACGCCATGTATCAGTAGGTATTTTCATGTTATTTCTATAAATATGACCTATTTAACGTTCTTGTTCGTCCATGTGGAACGCACATCTGTACAGTATTAATTTTTTTAGGAATTTCCAAACGAACCAAAAAATAGTGCCTCGACAAGTTTCACATTTCATAGATGGAAGTGGCGCAGTGAAATACGTTGTGTTATGGAGTGATATGCATTCGGGTCGTTACCCTGACGTGGCTCCTATCTGGGAGAAAAGGTTTTTTTTTTAAACTGTCGTAGCTATCAAAAAATGTCGGACTGATTTTTCTTCAATGAATTGGATTCAGGGCCATTCCGGTACGATTTCTGCAAGGGACCCCAGAGCTACTCGAAGAGTCGCAAATGGATTTTCTAATAGAACGAGTTGAACATTTCATGCGTGAGCTTGATATTCCTGGATTGTCAATTGCCATTGCCAAACGGGAGCAGTTGAAATTTGCAGCTGGTAAGACTCCATTGATTTGAACATTTTTTGGAAAGCTTCAACATCTGCCAAAAAACTATGGAAACAAAAAATAAGTCAAATTTGTTCGTGTAATTTTCATGCAATTCCAAAATGTACGAATATACTAAATCTTCACTTTGTTGGATCTACTTGAACGGATTCTATAAACAACTTGCAAAACTCCAGTAATCGTAAAAATGCAAAAATCTTGAGTTTCAGGCTTTGGTTTTGCTGATGTTCGCAAAGAAGAGATTGTAACCCCTAACCACCAATTTCGGTACGTCGCTTGAATTTTGATACTGCTAAGTTTCCAATGCGGTCTCTCTAGGGTAGGATCCATATCCAAGCCTATAACAGCAGCAGCTATAATGCTTTTGGTCGACCAAGGTAAAATCTCTCTAGATGACAAAGTTTTTGGTCCGAACTCGATATTTGGTAAGTTCTGCAAACCGCGGACACCTCCTATGCGAAAGTCTCAAAATACATTCATGCTTGGAGGTCACAAATTCTCAAAACGAAAATCTTACAAGAAATACGTAACCGATGTTACCGTAAGACATCTGCTTGAGCACTCCTCAGGTGAGCAAATATCAATAATGCGGGTGTTTTATGGATTTCTGAAGTTCATAGGAGGCTGGGACAACCTTCAGTCTGATCCAGCTTGGATACAGCAACAATTGAATACCGAAAAGCTGATTGAATATGTGTTGGAGAACGTCCCTCTAGAATATCCGCCGGGGACTCGATGGATATACTCTAACTTTGGATATCAAGTTCTAGGTTCTTGTTTTCCTGGCACCAAAAGAAAAAAATGATCTTCGCGATTTTCAGGTTATCTCACAGAGTATCTGTCACAGAAGAGCTATGAAGATTTTGTCAAAACATCCGTTTTTGTTCCGGCAGGTGTTCATGACATACAAGTGGCAAGACCAACGATAGGACAGAAAGCAAAGTAAAAATGACATGTTTTTTCCGCGCAGTAATTGAACTAATTGGATAAATTCAGGAGAGAAGTCCTCTACTATATGAGCGGCAACAGGCTTGGTTTCGATCCGTACGAGATGTTATCTGCCGATCGCATCGGACCATGGGGTGGTTGGATAGCAAGCCCAATTCAGATGCTTCTATTTATGGTTAGACTATTTGAGACTTGGGAGGGCTTTTCGAATTATTAGGCTTTTTTCACCAATTTTTCAACAATTAGTAGTGGAATTCGCAAAGTTTTCCGTCTCACAGCTTTTTTCATTGCGTTCTTAAGATACATTTTTCTTCGGCCCACAAAAGATAAAAGTGAAGACTCCCTCAAAATCATTTTTTGTCTTCTAAGGTTCGAATCGTTGGAAAATTCCTCACTTATGTTGCAGTCTAATGCAATCACTCGCTCTTAAATTTGTTTTGGTCTCGCTTTTGATTTGAATCCTTGTTATCAATTTCAAAAACTGAGTTAAGACTAACCACTACGCTCCATAATTTTTCATTTCCTTTTTGAAACCCTGTTGAGAAGGCTCACGAAAGCTAGACAAATAAAATTATGTCTTCAACCCAACACATCAGTTTTATATGTTTGTACTTTCCTATTTTGGAGTTCCCAGTGGAACTAACCAGGTGAGAAAACTTGTTTTCTTCAGATCATTTCTTGTCCATAAAATACTTTCGAATCCATAAATCACTGCCCTACTCTCCGCGCGTGAATTATAATCTTAAAATTTCTGTTTGTCATGAAGTTTTTATGAAAAGGGAGTCAGGTTTACTAAGAAAGAATAAATGAAATTCCGACCAATCTTCAGGCAAGTGTCGATGGTTTTTCGCAAAGAAAAGATTCTTTATCCCCAAAATCAGTGCATGAATGGTCAACGCCTACACAATGCTCGAACAGTACATACGGTGTGTTGTAATAGAATAGTTTCTAGTTTTCTTCAAGACTAGCATTTAGGACTGGGTTGGTCACTGAATATCATGGGATTTAATGGATGGCAGCATGATGGAAGAATGCCAGGAAGTGCAGCAATGTTGGTCAGGCTGGATAATGGACTTGAGATGGCGATAACTGTCAATAAGGTGACTACTTCCGAAGATTTTATGTATGTACTGAAAAACGTACAATGCCGCTCGTTTTTTTGTTGGAAAAAATGGCGCAAAGTCGCCTGATTCACGTGACATCACTGTAGCGTGGCCATATCTCGCTTCAGAGTGGACAAATTCTTGATCCAAGAACACTATTCAACTCAGTCTGGCACGGCGCATCTGCTGATATGTAGCAGAGCCCGCTTAGACACAGTAGAAGGTCAGATTCCACAAATCATTCAGATTTTTGCTTACGGTAGGTTGCCCAATGAGTGCAATGATTAGACACACTGAGTAACCTAGCGTAAGCAAAAACTTCAAACCGCGCCGAGCTGAGTCCTATGGTGTCCTTAAATTAAGGATACGCCCACTTTGAAGCGAGATATGAACACGCCACGGTGACGTCACATGAATCGGGTGACTGTGCGTCGTTTTTTCAGAAATTAAGAGCGGTATCGTGCGTCATAGCTATGCTTTTTAATGTCTTCAGGAATATTCGGAGCGAGACTTCTTTCACGAGCTTGGCTATGTGCTTCATCACATTGGAAACAATTACGATTGGTGGGACGACGATGTAGATCTTTTTGACAGCCTTTGCGCTGATCCTTGCTAGTGTTTTGCTTGTGCACCTAATTTGTTGTGAGATCGGGTAAAATATTGAATACATTCGTAATATACTGCTGAGAAATTATGCTCGACGAAAGTGTGGAACGTCAATTCTGTTTATACGAAAATCTAATAAATCTTGTAATATAATATCTTGAGAATGTCAAATTTTAAACTTCTACTTAGCTCACATAGCTCACATGAGATCTTTCAAACGAAAAAAAAAACTTTAGCGTATCGCAAAGCGACCAAATTTGGGAAAAAAGTTTGTTCGATGGCTGTATGTATGTATGTATGATCGTCTCCACGATTCGTGTATTCACACTTTGGGCCCCGGCGGGTGTCATGGGCCACTTTTCGTCATCGATCGATATCGATTTTATCGATTTTTATCGATTTTTTTGCAGAGTTCACCTACGGGGCCGGGAGTTGGCACAGGGGTAAGTGGGCATGCTGATTTCGAAAACAACACAGAGAACGGGAAATGAAGTAAAGAAGACAGGACACAGGGAAAGGCTGTACAGGGATAGGGATGGGACCTTTATCACAGTGTTTTGACATGGCCGAGCGGAGCCGGGTAAGCAAGCTAGCCAACAATGAAGCATTGAGAGAAACTTAACCTAAAGTGAAGTTGCGTATGAAAATTATCTAATCTTTCTCACAGCCAAGCAACTCGAACTAAAGAGCAAGTAAAACCGTGGGACAAAAAATGAAAGCTCTCTCATAGCGCAAGGAAGCTGAACAAACAGAATGTAAGCTTGTTAAAGATAAATTATGTACAACCATCAATCAATGAATTCATTTTCGTTGGACATCTCTGTCTTCTCTTCGTTGGGAATCAAAATCGTCATTAGGTAGAAATATTTAGTAACAGAAATATATGTTAGGTTGAAACGAAAGCTCCTTAGCACCATTTTTTCAAAATTGTAGCTTCCTTCTTTCACGACATTTTTGCACGACTATCTTATTGAAGCTTACTAGAAAGAGCAATTAATGCACTTTTTAGGGGCATTTTGGCTGCCATCTACTATGCGTTGAATGCAGAGATAAAATTGGGAAAAAATCACTTCTGCTTAAAAATTTTGAGGCAAGCCCGTAAAAAATCCTGTGCCTTAAAATCCAAAAACAGCTAGTATCCTAGCTGATCCATTCTTTCTAGCTGAGCAAAATTTGCGTTGATCGAGCTGCTCTTTGAAAGGTTATGATTTTTTGAAATGTGGAAAAATTAATTCTTTTAAGAAAATGATTTTGTGACATTTTTTCTCAAAAATCAAAACTCTAAGAAGAGCTCGATTATCGCGATCTTGCTTATTTAGAAAGAGGCGATCAGAAACCCAGGTTACTGGCTTTTTTGGTTTTATGTCACAGTTTTGGATTTTTCAAGGGCTTGACTAAAATTCAGAAATTAAAGTAACTAGCTGGCTTGCCCGGCTCCGCCGGGCCTGCCAGCTAGACCCGTGTACGTATGTTCCGAATAGAAATTTTTATTTCTGAACCGATTGGGACCGAACTTTGCACACATACACTTCGGGGCAGGGAGCATGTCACAGTCCACTTTTCGTTATCGATCGATGTCGACTTTACCGATTTTTTGCAAAATTTGAGCTAGGGGGCTAGGATTTTGCACAGGGGGGTAATCGAGCATGCTGATCACCCCCTTCGGGGTGATCAGCATGCTCGATTACCCCCCTCTGCCAAATCCCAGCCCTCTAGCTCGAATTTTGCAAAAAATCGATAAAATCGATATCGATCGATAACGAAAAGTAGCCTATGACACGCTCCCTGCCCCGAAGTATATGTCTGCCAAGTTTGGTCCCGATCGGTTCAGAAATAAAAATTTCTATTCCGCACATACGTACAGACAGACAAACATACAGACAGACAGACAGACAGACATTCAGCTTTATATATAAGATATCCTTTTTTCATTTCTATCTCTGCATTTAAGGCTTAGTAGATAGCAGTTCAATGCTCCAAAAAGTGCTTCAATTGCTCTTTTCAAAAAGGTTTAAGTCATGTAAAAATGTAGTGATAGGAAGAAGCAATATTTTTGAATAGGTGCGACAGAACTTTCGGTTCAACCTAATATAATGCGCTCTGATGTTTACTTAGAACTGAATTTTTCTTGATGTTAGAATGTTAGTGGAAAGTAAATCAATATTTGATGATGTAATAAAACATAGAAGAAAAGTATCGCAGTTTTTCCAACCAGAGAAAAAATATCCTAAAAAGTTGTCCTTTATCCGAGAAGTAAATTGGGACCACATCATTCATAATGAAAAGCTGTCAGCATTACCCGTGTAATCAACAATGTCATCAAGCATTCGTTCGATTGTTTGTTCGTTTACTCGAACACCCAACTCAATCGCAGCGCTGGAAGAAAAAATAAAGCCCCCAGATATTTTTGCAACGTCCTTTAACATTCTTTCTCTGTCTTCAATCGAACCGGTTCTCGACTCGCGCTAAACGATGGCACAACTACCACAACCTTCACTGGCACACATGCGCATCGATACTATCTGATCATTTATAACTTTCATTTTTTGTCTGTTTCTCCTTAAATGTCTCACCAAACCACAAAATAGTCATTTCGGTTAGTTCTTTCGAGTTCTTATTTCGAGTCTTAATTTCAGGTTTCGGTTCTCCGATTTCACAAGGAGAAACACGCAATCGTGACGGACTTCTATAACGTTTGTACTAGAGAATTCTGTTTAGAGATGATTTTATTCGATAAAGTTCCTATTGCACATTATATTACGAATCTATGGCATTGGGATGTGGAATGGGAAGAGGAAAATCCTGAATATCGGTGTTTCCTGCGTTTGGCCCATGTTGTGGTGGGCAAATCAAAATTTTTTCATTATAAATCGCATGAATAGTTAGTACGATTTTTAGAACGCTGCAAAGGTCTTGTTGATTATTGAAATTTTGATCATTCCCATATATGTTCGATTTCTATTTCCATGGTGGATATTCTGGATAGGTGAGGCAAACTTTTTCCATCATTTCTTTTCATTTATGAAGTTTTTCATGAAAATTTCAGGTCCCCACTTTGTTATTATTCTCCTCACTCTATATGCTCTCAAACAAGAGAAGCATCGATGGATGTGGCCAATCAACCTGTATGCAGTGAGTTTTTTGACTTCTCTATTTTTTGCCATAAAATTTCGTTTCTCCTTTATGGTCTGCATTTTTTTTTGTTCTTTAAATTTGCGACTCCTTGAAAATACACATGATTTGATTTACGCTTGTGATAAGAAGTCATGCTTTTTATAACGATATTTGTTCAAAAAAATGATAAGCATCTCGGAGAAAAAATTCTAACTAAACAATTTCTTTTTGCAATCAATGATGATTGTTTATAAGATCCAGATGACTGCTTAATTATTGAAAATTTTCGATTTTTTTGTACCAAAAGTTTAGAAATTTTGTATTTATCTTTACGAGTAATTTCTGCGGAACGTTCTCGTGACTTCCGAGTACTATTTTTTCTGAATAAAATGTGATTAGCAAGCCTAAAATGGTTCAAAATAAAAAAAAGATAAAACATTTACCACGAAAAGTGGTGTATTTAGTATGTATAAATATCTTCTTTACGTACATTTTTGACAAAATCATGGTCGACTTGCTTGTTTTCAATTTTAACCGACGACCAGACTCGTTCCAACTATTTTGGAAGACGATTATACGGTCTCATGCATTGTGATTGATTGTCTCTATTTAAAAAAATTGTTCTCAAAGAGATGCCGCTTCTTGTAATGGCAAATCTAACGGGGAATAAATTTGAATCGAAAAAATGCGAAAAATTTTTTAGAAACTATTTAATTTTGATAGGAGATAGTTGTCGTAAGGAGCATCTACTTGTTGCAAGTACAAGAATCGAAGATAAGTGCATCATCTAACAAAACAAAAACAAATGCGAGCCGAGAGTGGTTTAAGTTTCGTGTTTGCTGATTCTCTTAGTCTAATCTTTCCAACAAACACTGCAAGCAAACCGAATTCATTTCTTCTATAAGCAACGAAAACGATGATCTTATTCACGAGTAGTACTAACATAAATTGCTTCCAGTGGGAAAAACGTCTTGAATTATTAGGTTGTCACAAACACAACCACTTTTCAAATAAATCAGAATGTTTTCGTTTTCTTAGGAGACTTTGGGCATCATTCGACAGAGCGAACCTACAGAACGACCACCAAAAACCTGCCTAAGTCATGACTCAAGTGAAGTCTGGAGACCTAAAGTGAAATTTTTTAACTATTCTAAAAATTGGATTATCTTTCGAAATTTTCATGGACTTCAAACTTAGTTATCGTCCAGTAGACACATACTAGTATCCGGAGATGTATTGGATGTTTTCCAGAACTTTTAAGAAATTAAAATAGCTGGAAATGCATAAATGTCTTTTTGGATTTTTTATGTTAAACGTATTTCTCGATTATCAAGGAGCAGGCAGAAGAAATTTCAACGTCATACCTGCTAAAGCTTATAGTACACAGTGACAAATGTTGGAGGAACTAGGGGCGGAGTTTGCCACTTTTGGACAATTTTGTCTCGATTTCCATGCGCGGAAAATTCCAGTAAAGACATATCTGAACACCATCATGTGTCTTCGTATGGTAGCCAAGTTGGAGGTCTGTAAGACTTTTTTTCCGCAAAAATTCAATCCTTAGTGAAAATTTTTCGTTTTTGGCTCCAAACTTTATCTGGATTACGAATTGAGCGCATGATTAACAGTCATTTTTTAGTGCTTGCTTCGCTTTTCCGAATGATGATCTTCAGTCTGCTAAGAAAACAAAAACGGCATGATTATTTGGAAAACGCCTACTGTTGGGGCAACATAATAGCTTCAGCGAACCCGAACTACCCTAGGTCGTCGTTGTAACATAACATGAACAAAGATATGCATGAATTTTCGCTATTGCTTTTGATTATAATTTCTAATGACATGCAATCACATTTATGGCTGTCTACGCTTTCGTTTCCAACACGGACCCTCTTCTCATATCTTGAGCGAAACTATCTCCTGCCTTACCTTCTTTGTTGTCAAAAGGCTTTTTTTCACTTACTGCGGTCCACCAAGCTAGAAAAACCGCTTCCGTCTTAAACTGCGTCTAACCTGTCTTTTCTAACGTGGTGATACTTTCTTATATGAAATGACAACCACAATGAGTAGCTATCAATAGATAGAGATATTCTCGAAGAATAATTTACATGCGAGAAGAGTCCATAGAGTTTCAGATCGCCTACAGAATTTTGTGAAGAAATAGAGAAAAAACAGCTACTACTTTTTGACCTTTCTTTGGTACATCATAAGCGCCCATTTTCAAATTAGAAAGTTCTTACTCTTTTTGCAAGCCATAAAAAGTAATTGGGAGGCTTTCGCTAGCTATCGCTTCACACCCTTCAACATTAAAGCCAGATTGTCACAGAAAGCATTATTCACAGAAAGCTGCTGCTTGGCAAAAAAACAACAACATATGAGTGCTTGCTATTCGACTAAGTTTGTGTAAGCAACACAATTTCTACATGAAAATGGTTTTATGCATAAGTCCCGTTGGACACACATTTAGTGACAAAAGGAATAGATTGACGTGAAGGGTGAACTGTGCAAATTTTCGTATAGGAACATGTTTTTCAAGGAATAATTGAGATGACGGTGAAGGACAATGATTTGATCACTTGTATCAGGCCTGCAATCTTATTAGACCAAAAATTTTGTTTGAATGTATCAAAAGGAGCAAGAAAAACGCCTCCTAATGGCATAAAAATCGCCGTTAGAGAAATAAAAAAACAAAAAGAAAAACAACGCTGTAATGACAAGAGCATAAATTCGGATACTTAGGAATTTTCGACTAGTTTTCCTTCATAAAAAGTTTGTTTCTCATTGTCAAATTTGTATGGTAATCAGTGTTTTGCATGAAGTTTATAAATGAATTTTTTGGAGTAGCCATTTTTGCATGCACTTTTTGAAATGCACAAAACTCACTTCATATTCTGCTCAAACTAGTCACAGTTCCTCTATGCAAAAACTCCTTTCATATCCTGCCGAAGAAGTTCTTAGAAACCAGTACGAAATCGAAAATGCAATGATGTGGAAATCGTTTCTTCTGCCCGAGACACCACTAGTTGCACGTCTTTTCATTCTTGCTTCCATGAAAATGAATGTTGATGAAAACACTCAAATATGTTAAGTTTTTCCAAAAGTAAACTCCTTTTTCAAATAGATCAAGCTGTTTTTCGGCTTCTTAATCAGATTTAGGGTACCATTTGATAGAGCAAAGCAAACTCTACTAAATGATCATCGAAGATCGCCTAATTCGGGATCCAGGCAAAATTTGGGACCAAAAAATTAAAATTTTTAACTAATATAAAAATTTGATTGTAAAAGTTCCCACAAACCTCCAAATTGGTCAGTATACAGTAAATAGTAGTACCCAAAAATGTATATATTTGTTGAATTTTTTTCAAAGGCTTTTCGGAATCTTTTATATTGGACTTGATAGTGTTCGATTGCCAGGGCGTTTATAGATCTATGCTTTATCGCTTATACTTGCTGAAGTTTGTAGTACACAATGAAGCTTGTGGCAGGCGCTTGGACGAAATTTGCTACTTTTAAAGTTTCTTTTTTTCTCGCTTTATATGTGCAGAAAAAATCCAGTAAGGGCATACATATATGTGTACTACAATGTTTACGGTACAGTGACCAATTTGGAGGTCTGCAGATTTTTTCTTGTAGAAATGCAATTTTCAGGTGATAAGGCTTTTTTGATTGGCTCCAAATTTTACCTGGGTTACGACTTAGGAGGATCTTTGATGGCTGTCTTATATTAGGTTGTCAAGAAAATAGTCGTTTTTTGTTTGCTTGCTTTAACAAACCAACCAGACTCAACCCAACAAAGGGTAAAGGTACTGTTCGATAGAGCAAAGCAAGCTCTACAAGATGGCACTCATGTCTTTGCGCCAAGCTCGATCCACTGAGAGTTCGAACTCAAAATCTGAAGATTTCCAAATGACCAAATCGAAAAAAAAATCAGATCTTCGTCCAAATAATTCCTACGGACCTCCCACTCGCACATATCAGTACTTCCGAGATGTGATACCGGTGTGTGCGGTTGCTGTATTTTTTCTTTGACTAAAGACCAAAAAAACGAAGATTTTCGTGTTTTTCTAAAAGCAATGCTGAGCCGTTTTTGCATGTGTGATTCTATACTACAAGCCTAGGTAAATATAACTGTAGATTTTCAGCCCATTCCGAGCGGTAGTTTTTGAGAAATGCCGCTTTTAGCACTGAATTTGAAATGAAGAAAGCTGATTTCGATATCTCTCGAAAACTACCGCTCGGAATGGGCTGAAAATCTACTGTTATATTTACCGAGGCTTGTAGTATAGAATCACACATGCAAGAACGGCTCAGCATTGCTTTTAGAAAAACACGAAAATTTTCGTTTTCTCAGTTTCTAGTCAAGGAAAAAATACAGCAACCGCACACACCGGTATCACATATCGGAAGTACTGATGTGTGCGAGTGGGAGGTCCGTAGAAATTATTTGGACGAAAATCTGATTTTTTTTCGATTTTTTGGTCATTTGGAAATCTTCAGATTTTGAATTCGAACTTTCCGTGGATCGAGCTTGGCGAAAAATCATGAAGGCCGTCTCGTAGAGCTTGCTTTGCTCTCTCGAACAGTACCTTTACCCTTTGTTGGTTGAGTCTGGTTGGTTTGTTAAAGCAAGCAAACAAAAAACGACATTATTTTCTTGACAACCTAATAGAACTTGCTTCGCTCTTTCGAGTGATATTCTAAGCCTGCTCGAAAAACGAAAAAAAACTGAAAACCAGCTTGATTTATAATATTTGGAAAAGGAGTTCATTTTTTACTTCAAAGTTTGCTTTTTAGTCATCATTAATCGGCTTTAGGCCTTTCAATTCGCCGTATGGGCTCTGGTAACAATATTCAAAATCATCATTGCAATTTTCGATACGGATGCTTACTTACGATTCTACGGACAGTGTAAGCATGGCGGTTTAGTGCTTCACCTTGCTAATGATTACGATTTCTCTTTTCAGCTCACCATGAAGATTTTCTAACAAGAGCTATCATACTGAGTATTATCAAAGCAATTGTACTATTGATAGGAGCAGCACTGTTTTGGCGATTGGCGGTAAGTTTGTGTTGATAATTGAAGCTTCAAAATTTTGAGTTTTGAAATATGTGATAATTCAAATAATTCGAAGACCAAACATTCGCTTATTTATTGAGCTCACGCATGATTTGCGCAGAGTGCTTTAGTTTCGAAAATTTCCAGAAGTCCTCTGATGTGAGAGCTTTGAATTTATTTTAGGAATGAATGGGTTCATTCATTGACATAAGTTATGGCAAATATGCCCAATCCGCTATAAAATTACAAATATTTTTCAAACATACTTTCTGACTTCTTTTTCATTTTTACTTTGTTTACCGCCTTTTTTTTAAATGTGTATGAGCATTATCGGCAGTGCAACAGAAATCGGGGGGCAGGAGGAAAAAGTAGCATTCAAAAAACGTCTTTAAGAAGCCGCCGTGTACTTTACTCAAAAAGTAATAGGCAGACTCAATGATGGATATCCAAAAAATTCTAATTTTTCCCAGATTTCATAAGAACGAAAAAACTACGCAGGTTTGCAAAAAAAATTTGATAGATATAGAATTTTCTGATATAGATAGATTCAGGTATTCCACACAACCCGACGATATTTTGAAGCAAAGGCTGACGGAGCTGTTCCAGTTGATGAAGCCACAGGAGTGGAAAAGTTGATGAAGCCTGTATAGCATCATAAATAACTTCAAGTTACTTATGCACCAAAAAAGCTTATGTACACTTCACTACAAATGTTAGATATAGAGTTTTTCTGTTTGAGTGTGAATTCTATTAGGTTGTCAAGAAAATAATGTCCGTTTTTATTTGCTTGCTTTAACAAAGCAACCAGACTGAACCCAACAAAGGGTAAGGGGTACTGTTCGATAGAGCAAAGCAAGCTCTACAAGATGGCACTCATGTCTTTGCGCCAAGCTCGATCCACTGAGAGTTCGGACTCTCAGTGGATCGAGCTTGGCGCAAAGGCATGAGTGCCATCTTGTAGAGCTTGCTTTGCTCTATCGAACAGTACCCCTTACCCTTTGTTGGGTTCAGTCTGGTTGCTTTGTTAAAGCAAGCAAATAAAAACGGACATTATTTCCTTGACAACCTAATATTATGAATTGCCTGCACATAAGCATGAATGAAGTCTTTCACCGGTTCGTTGCATATAAGCTAACGAACACCAAGCACATCCCACTAAGTACAGTCAACGTATGTCAAGCGTTGATTTCCTGCTCATTACGAAAGTTGAAGAGTAGGGTGGTGATTGTTCGAATATAGCTTCAAATTCTTGCGATTGTTGTTGTCGCTGTTTAGGGCGTTGCGTGTCTAAGTCTCATAATCATTTTGAAAATCGCATTTCTATACTCTTTGATAGTAAGCATAATAGCCATTGGATCGATCACCGTGGTGGAAAATGTTGAAATTAGGGCCTGGTACTTGAAAGCGCTGAAAACTAAAGTTATTCTGTTTAATAATCAAATAGAAAGATGAACCTTGGCAGTGAGAGCTCAAGAAGCACGAAATAGATCACTATAAGGCGAGGTAAAAATGACAGCACACAAGGAAGTAGAGCCTAGAAAGATAGAAGCGTCTACGCTCATAAAGAACGTATTATTCAAGTCTCTAGACGTGTTTTTGTTAATTCTCTCGCTTACCTGTATTGTCAAAGCTATGAGCATCTGCCTGTAAAGCTTGATTGTTTTCTTGCTCAGGGCAGCTAATTTTAGAGTTCTTGAGGTTTGAACTCCAAGAACAATCATAGCGATAAAGGTCGCAATTGTCATTACCGTCATTACGGCTAAACCTAATGTTGTCTTCCAATATATAAGTAAAGAATTACCTATAACTTCCTAAAATTATTGAAGAGATTATTTTCTTTCACAAAAATAAGAAGAGTCTGCAAACATTACGAGGACGCACTCACATATGCCAAGATACGCATATGCGGTAACTCAAGCAGATTACGATGGAGGGCATTTTGAATTGCTGTGCCAGCATGTTAGCATTCTTTGGTAGGTGCAAACCAATACGAGGCGATGAAGAAGTAGATAAGACCCCAAACAAGGTTGAAAGCAATCCAAATAACGAGTTTGGACCCCTCAAAGTAGTTCTTTTTTTTCGGCCTGGAAGCCATGTATGTTGAAACTAGGCCAACTTGCTGCCGTTCTGAAGAGCCCCATGGACCACTACTGAACTCGACTCACCTGCATACAACGATGTAACGATAAAAAAAGGTGCAGGACCAGAAGTGCACTTTCCATCCCTTGCATGGAGAAAAGAAGGCCCACAAACAACGGCTCCAGTCAGGGTCAAGCGTGCTGATGCGATCCGGGACCCTCATTTACGACCCCCCCCCTTGAGCTTACCCGTCCATACGCCCCCCACCCTCACCCATTTATCCCCCTTACCTCCCCTGCCTACATTCCTCGCGGTAATCTGCATGAACGAATGTCAATCTCAAAAAACATCTGCGTGAGAACTTCAGTGAGGTTTCGGAAGCAGAATTTCTAGGCCAATGGGTGCGCTCAGCATCTGTAGCACGCATACACACCTCAATAATGTTTGGGTTCGTTCTGCAAAAGTTTTTTTTTGAATTTTCAGACATACTTCAGGCCAGCAAATTCGATTCCCGTAGGCGACACAAATTTTTGCACGAAGAACAAAATGACATTATTGAACTAAAAAAATGCTTTCGACTAAGAAGCTTACTTCCTACTTCTTCCACAGTTTTTCCCGCGAAAAAAACCGCTTGAGCGCTCTCCAGAACGACGTCAAAAACGTGCATGAGCACGGTAGTTTGAAAATTCGTAACTAAGGCCAGGAAAAGACTGAGGGGCTGCAAAGCACAGGTTCTGTGGTACGGTGCCCAGACTATCCACTGAAAAAGTTTCAGCGGTTAAGGAGCAGTAAGCTCGAAAAAATTTAGATGCGACTCTCGCAAATTTAGATGCGATCCTAAAGAGCAAAAACTGGGATTTTTGAGCTTAAAACTTTGTAACTTACCAGAGAAGTTATAAAACAGCCTGCAATTTTTAGGAGGAAAAATAGGAGGATGGCCTCATACTACAGCAGAATTGCAGCCAACAAGCTTCAATAGCTCCGAAGAAATTTAGATGCAACCCAGATACGACCCCCCTTTCCTAACTTTTTGCTACCATACATAAAATCATAAGAAAATCCACAGTTCACAAAATAACACCAAATTTTGCACTGATATAGCGGAGCATCTCCAAAGTACAGATAAATCATATGAGCCCGTGAAAAACATTACAAATGATTTAGAAATTTATGATGGTCACAGCTGGTAAAGACATTCGCTTTTGTCGAGTGTGTGAGACTTCGGGAAGGCTTCAGAAGCGAGATTTCTAGGGAAATCGGTACATTTAGCATTTTTATCAAGTAATACATCCTTCAAAAGTGTTTTCAGCTCTTGTAAATGTTTTTTTTGAGAATTTCTAAAGATTTTTTACCTTTTTTTATTCCGATTTCCACTTTTCCATAGATTTATTGTAAAGGACATAACTAATCATCTGCTTTTTGATTCCCTTTGTAGCCTACGGTATTTTAGCCTAACTGCCTCCTCTTGCGACCCCCCCCCCCACCTTAGATACCCTCTTACGACCCCCCGTTGCGACAGTCGCATCACAAGCTTGACCCTGGCTCCAGTGCTGGCACAAAAGTTACGAGCCCGTTGTTGAAAGACAGAATTGAATGCCCAATTATAAAGTGGACCTGGTTGAAGAAATTTTCCATTGGAATGTTACTCTGTTCAATGGAGGCGTTATATGCCTCTTGTTTAGCGTATAGACTAACAAGTTCAAGATCGTACCGGCCTAGCTATATATTCCACAGAAGAGTATAGAATGTTGCATGTTGCGAAGGCGATCAAAAGGTATCTATATGCGCCAATGCTTTGCCGTTCTTTCTTTAAAAAAATATAGATGAAAAGAGAGTTTTAACAACTGAGAGCACAGCTGCCGCCGTAGAAATTGAAAACAAGACATTTTTGTCCATTATTGGCAATATCTGAATGTGAACTCAAGATAGATCACTGGAAGTAAAGAGAGAAGAGTAATATCGCAAAGGCAAAGCGTCACCTATTATTCAGAGGTTAAGACCATAAGCATACTTACAAAGACTAACAAGACTATGAACTCCCCCAAATGAGGTTTTACGGTAGAAAAACTCAGTCCTAGTAAGATCAAACAGCAATTATTTCCAAATTTGAGTCCCCTCGACTCAACAGACAATTATTCCAAAAAGTTTTTCTCAAGGTTTGCCATCAAAATAGCGCCGTTTTTGAGCCATTTTGGGACGTATTAGAAAGATTCTCACTTAACTGCTGTAAGAGGTGAATTCTAATCATCGCATGATCATCCTGTCGAAGGCTTACGGCTACAAATTGAAACCGTTTTGTGAGCGCAGACTTTGCAGCGACACTGTAAACAGAATTTTTCCTCATAATTTCCGGAGAGGAAGCTGAACACTAATGCACAAGAGTAGTTATCGTATGATATAAACAAATCAGTGTTTGTTGCCGCAAGTATTTTTGCCACAAAAGTATTTTGCAATGATTTTATTTCCTTGAATACAAGCCAAACTTGTGTACCTTTTTTTCTTCCCTCACTTCAAACAAGACGCGGAAACTTGATCTGACATTTGGCGAAATGGATCAAAAAGTACATTTTTACTCTACAGCCCTCCTACTTATTACATTCAAGAAAGCACAGAAGAAAGATTTACACTTGGGAGCAAGTCAAGAATCTATCATCATTAATGAAGAATCACGGTAGAAACTTGCAGCGTAGGCGTCACTGTGAAAAAGGCCGTTTGGAAAGACTCTCAGAAACTCTGAAAAACAATGTAACTATGTTTTATGCATGCTGATTTTAGTACACAGATTTTTGTCGTAAGTTAGGTGAAGTTTAGAGCCATCGAAAAGAATTTTTACTTGAAACTGAAATTTACGGAGAAACCCGAGGAACTACAACTTGATTATTATAAAGTTTACCATAATAGTACTCAAATATACCCTACTGGATTTTTCCGCCTAAGAAAAGCGAAAAGAAAACGTCCAAAATGGCAAACTCATCCTTCAGCCCCCTCCACATATGTCACTATAAGTAATCTAGTCACTATACTACAGGCATTAATAATGTTGCGGCTCGGTGAGCTCAGCACTCCCTTGCCTCGCTCGACTGCCTGCACAACCCTGCACCTACTGCCTATAATCGCTAGCGCTGGTTGGCCCTTCCACCGCGTCCGACGACACCGCGCTGAGTGGCGATAAACCGTAACAAGAGACACGCGACTACATTACTTAACTTTATCTAAATAACAACAAACTACACTACACAAAAAGCTAAGCTAGAAAATACCTAAAATCTAAAGAGAAAACAATATGCGGGGCGAGTCCGCCTCGTCCCAGTCCGCCGATGATCACCAACCTAATTCCAATACACGATGCTAGGGGAACCCACAAGAGTCGACCGCCTACTCTCACCTCCGCGTAGGAAAGGTACGACCCTCTCCACTCCCGGTTCAAAAATAAATCAAAGCTCTAAATTCCCTCGCGCATAGCGCGGCATAATTCAAAAATCACTCTGCTCGCAAGACTTCATCCCCGGGAGCTTACTGGGGTAGCTGCCAAGCACAATCGATAAGAGTACAAGAGGAATCGAACGAATTTGAAAACGAGGTCACCGAAAATCAAAAAGGCATATGGCGCGTGTTGCGCGGCCTTATATACCCCTCGACTTGGCAACGCGCCCAAGCAAGGAGAGGTCCGGGCG